ACTACTTTACATTCCAACTAACAAGGCAGAAAATTTTCTTTTTCCCTGTAGTCTTGCCAACATTTGTTATAATTTGATTTCTGGCTGATAGTCCTTATTCTTGAGTAAGATGGAGTCTTAGTGTTGTGTGAATTTGCATTACCTTGATGGGCAGAGATGCTGAAACTTCTTTCATGTGTTTATTGACCGTTTCCATTTCTTATTTCAAGAAATGTCAATTGATTCATTTCAATTGTTTTAGTTTGGAGGAGGTCTAACTTTTTGAGTTCTTTATATATTCTAGATATTAGTTTGTCTGAGGAGTAGCTGGCAATTCTTTTTCCCACTCTGTAGGTTGGATCTTCGCTCTGATGGTGTTTCTTTTGCTATGCATATTTTTTATTAGATATAATTCAACTTGTTGATTCTTGATACCATTTATTGTACAATTCAGATTCTTTTGAGGAAGTCATCATTTGTGCTTATATCTTCAAGATTTTTACCTCCTTTATCTTCCAACAAATTGTGTTTCTGTTTTAATATTTAGATCTTTGATCCATTTTGATTTTGTTTCAGAAAATGGTGAGAGGTATGGATGTAGATTCAATATTCTGTATGTGTGTACCACTTGTTAAAAATGTTCTCTTCCTCCAAAGTATGTTTTTGGTGTTTTTGTGAAAGATCAGATTGCTGAATGTGCCTGAGGTAGTTGTATATCCTCTATACTGTTTCATTGATCCATGTTTCTTTTTGTGTCAGTATCATACTGTTTTTGTCACTGTAGCTTTTTAATGTAAGTTGAAATCTGGGATTGTGATACCTCCTGCTTTTCTCTTATTGCCCAGAATTGCTTTTGCTATTCTGGCTCTCTTTTAGTTCCTAATAAATTTTAGGATTGTATTCCCCATTTCTCTGAAGAATGCTGTCGATATTTTCATTGGAATTGAATTAAATGTTTATTCACACTGGTGGCAAAACTACGGCATGCATGTTACTCTTTATTTTAAGAGAAAAGATGTTAATGTATGAGATTTTTTCTAAACCAGTGCTGTTGAACATTTTTTCATATGTTTATTTGCTATTTCTACTTCTTTGTCTGATAAATGTCTGTTCATTTTAAATGTCTATTGAATTGGGTCTTTAAATTTGGGAGGTCTGACTTTTTAAAGTTCTTCATATATTCTAGAGAGTAGATCTTTGTCTGAGGAACAGCTGGTGAAATTTTTCCCACATTATGTGTTGTCTCTTCACACTGTTGGTGGTTTCACTTGATGTGCAGAAGCATTTTAATAAGAAAATATCCCACTTTTTGATTGTTTGTCCTAGTTCACAGGCAGCTGAGGTTTTGTTCATAAAATCTTTTCCTACACCAATGTCTTCAAGAGTTCTACCTAACGTCTCTTCCAGTCTGTTTAGTGTTTCTATTTTAATACTTAGATCTTTAATCCATTTCAATTTTAGTTTAGTGCATGGTGAAAGATTTGGAAAGTTGAAACCCAATTATTTCAACACCATTTATTAAATAGGCTATCATTCCTCCAATGAGGGTGTTTGGCTCCTTCATCAAAGATGAGGTGACTGAGTGAGTCTGGAGTTGTTTCTGCATCTTCTAATCTGTTCCGTTTGTCCTGGCATCTATTTCTTTGCCAGTACCATGCTTTGTAATATAGTTTCAAGTTGGTGATTGTGATACCCTCTACCTTGTCCTTGTTGCCTAGAATTGATTTTGCTATTCTAGGTCTCTTCTTGCTCCAAATGAATTTTGGGATTGTTTTCTCAAGGTCTGTGAAGTATGCTGCTGGGATTTCCATTGAGATTGCATTTGAATCTATGTAGCAGTTTTGGAAGTATGGCCATTTTCACTATGTTGATTCTTCCTACCCAGGAGCAAGGGATATCTTTACATTCTGTTATCCTCTTTAATCTTTTTTCAGAGTGCTGTAGTTTTCAGAGTAGAGGTCTTTGATTTCTTTGGTTAAGTTGATTCCTAGGTATTTCAATTTTTTGGATGCTATTGTGAAAGGAACTGATTGCCCCGTTTCTCTCTCAGTGAGTCTGATTTTTTGTGTTAAAAAAAGCTATTGATTTTGGTGTGTTGACCTTGTATCCAGCTACTTTAATGAATTTGGTTATTAAGTCTAGAAGACTTTTAGTGGAATTCTTGGGGTCTTCTACTTAGAATATCATGTCATCTGCAAATAATGACAGTGTGACTTCTTCATTTCCTATCTTTATTCCTTTTAATTCTTTTTCTTGTCTAATTGTTGTGGCTAATGTTTCCAAAACTATATTGAATGGGAGTGGTGAAAATGGACATCCTTGTCTTATTCCTTATTTTAGTGTGAAGGATTTAGGTTTTTGACCATTTGGTATTATATTGGCTGTTGGTTTCTTATAGATGACTTTTCTCAGATGGAAGTAGAGACCATCTATTCCAATATTTTGAAGGGTTTTTATCATGAATGCATGTTGTATTTTGTTGAATGCTTTTTCTGCATCTATTTAGATGATCATATGGTTTTTGTCCTCACACTTATTGATTGGCAGGTGTGGAACCCTGCATCCCTGGCATGAATCCCATTTGGTCAAGGTGTATGATCTTCTCAATGACCTTCTGCATTCTATTTGCCAGTATCTTATTAAGGATTTTTGCATCCATGTTCATTAGTAAGATTGGCCTATAGTTCTCTTTTTTGGTTGGGTCTTTCTCTGCTTTGGGGATCAAAGTCATTCTTGCTTCCGGGAATGAATTTGGGAGTGTTGCTTCATTTTCAACTTCATTGAAGAGTTTAAACAGTAGTGGCAGTAGGTCCTTAGAATTTTTATCCAACTTTGGTAATTCATATGTATCTAGGAATCTGTCAATTTCTTTTGTATTTTCAATCTTACTGGCATATAGGTTTTCAAAGTAGATATTGATGATCCTCTGGACTTCTTCTGGGTCTGTTGTAATTTCACCCTTTTCTTTCTTTCTTTCTTTGTTTTTCATTGAGTTTATTGGTACATTTTAGGTACACAGTACAATTACATTTATCATTGGGATCTTGTACATTTACATGACGGGTCTTGGTTCTCATTATTTCCCTTTACCCCTTTTCATTTATAATTGCATGGATTTTGAGCTTTTTTTCCCTTTTTCTTGTAAGGTTGCCTAAGGGTTTGTCAATTTTGTTTATTCTTTTGAAGAACCACCTCTTGGCTTCACTGATTTTTTTTTTTTTGATCATTCTCTTAGTCTCCACTGCATTGATTTCTGCTCTGGTCTTTATAATTTCCTCCCTTGTATGAGCTTTGGGGTTGTCCTGCTCTTCTTTTTCTAGAAGCTTGAGATTCAGGATCATGAAGTTACTCAAGATTAGTCATTTTGCCAATTTAAGAGATTACAGGCCAACTTGGGATACTTGAGTAAATAAATTAGTTTGGTTATATGCATTTTCTTCGCTTGTAAAATAAAGTAAAATTACCTGTGGTACAAAGTTATTATGGGATTTTAAAATGTGCTTTTAAAGTCCATTATATAATAAATAGGTATTCAATTTTTGCTAATTAATATTTTAGGAATCCTAAAAAGTCACTATATAGGTAAATAAGAAAGAACATAACTTCCACAAAGTTGGGGCACTACCTGTAGAAATTTGGCATAATAGACTTTAGACAGGCATATGAAACAAGTTAGAAGTGTTTTATTTCCTATCCTACTTAACAGCTTGCTTAATAAGATTTGTATCAATTGGCCTTAGGTGTTGTGTTTTGTATTTTCATTTTGAAGTAGTATAATTTTTATATTCACTTTGAGGTGCCCTTTATTTTCTCTTTTTATACTTTAAAAAATATGGGCTAGGGATGTAGCTTAGTGGTGCCATGCCTTCCTGACAAGCACAAGGTCCTGAGTTCAATCCCCAGTACCAAAAAAAATTTTTTTTCTGGTTTTCAAAAGTATGTTTACTATACACATTTCAGACACTAATATTTATACATTATGGGGACATTCCTTCCTCATTCTGTTACTAAAATATTTCGTTAAGTATTTATTTGTGGTTTTTATGGGAAACTGCATTATATGTAAATAGATACATATCTTATGAATAGTAAGATCAAATTGTATAGTGTCATTCATTCAAGATCTTTAGATCATGGCACTGAGCACAAGTCTCAGGTCTTTGTCTATAAAGTATATACATATACCTTCTATAAACTTTTTATGCACATTTTATACATGTTAGTCTAATTTTGTCATGCCTGTCCTATCGCAAATAACAGCCATTATCATTATTCTTTGCCTGCCATCCCAAAAGAGTGTTTTGTTTCAGTGTTTTTCTCTCACCTCCTCATTGCTCAAAGAGAACAATAACTTGAAAACATCGGTTGGGTAAATACTGTATTATCATAATTACAATTTCCCTGAGAAAAGTGGCTTGCAGTTTGAATATTCAGCATCTTAATTACAATTTCCATAAGGAATGTAGAACAGTTATTATAAACAACACAATAATCACTTGGTCCATAAGGGGGAATAGATTATTAGGGGAATGAGGAGAGGGAAGTTGCAAAAGTCTTTGTTCTAATCAGCATTAAGGAGTAGCAACAGGACCAGAGAATAAATTGTACTGCATTCTTAGAATACTCTTTCCTGAATTTAAAGAAAAACTTATCATGATGGTAAACTTTCATAGGTTGATTAAGTACTGCCTATGTATTTTTTATTTTACATAATTTAGTTTTATCATTTTATTAAACATCTCCTGTGTATCTCTATTCATTGTCATTCATAATTACTATACCACCAAGAAATTTTTTAAAGCAAACTATCTCAAAATATGAAAAGCACAAAATGTTTAAAAACAGTTTAGGTGGAAAAAGTTCATCAGGTATTTCTCCACAGTAAATGCTTCTCCTTTGTCCAACAGAAAATGGGTAAACTTTTTTATTTTATTTTTAAGAAAAGAAAATGCCTTTCACTGCTTGTATTACTTTAATTAGTTTTATCTGAAATTTCTTTTTTACTTCTTTCTTTTTTTTAGGTAAAGTGAGAAAAGACAGAATGCAGCCTCAAGGTTGGTATTTTTCAGGACATCTTGAGATATGTATGCTAATATATAATAGTATGAAAGTTGCAGAGCAAAAGGTATACTTAGTTTTTCACAGAGAGCTTTAAATGACATTATGGTTTTACTTTCTTCTCCTATGGATGTAGACATTCAACACAGATTCGTAACAAAAGATATTATAGCAACCAAACACAATCGCTGATGTAAACTTCAGTAAAATTGTGATCTTGGGATCATTCAGTATCTTGCCACTCATCCATTCATCATTCCATGCATCTGTGATGTATGTACTTTTTTTCAGTGAATGTTTATCATACACATATTGGGTGTAATGTTTTGTAATCTGACTCTTCTCTTCATGTTTTCTTAGATTGACATTCATCAGATTTCCCATATAACCTATTTTTTCAATCATTTTCTGATATCTCAGAAAATAAACCTTCACCTTCACAAGTCTTCAGTTTAACTTGCAGTATCGGATAAATGAACAGGGTTTTCCCAGCAGTGCCTGCACATTTTGAAATATGTCTACTCTCACATAGCTGGAAGTTGTCAGTGCAATAAAGACGAAATGACTACATGTCTGATAACGTATGATGTATTTGTGTGGGAGGTGGGTAGTATAGCAATCTCTGACGTCAGTTACACTTCCTGAGAACTCTAGATCAGTCTTGTTTTCCTCTACCTTTTGAGTATTTTTAAGACTTTCTGATCTCTGATCAAGAAGTATACACCTGTGTTGCTACTATAAATTTTAAAGCAAAAAGGCATTAGCTAACCGGTAGCAGACAGGACAAGAGCAACTGTAAGAATGGTAGTCATAGACTAAAGACAATTTCACAGGAGGCAGAGAATGATATTTTTCTACTGAGCGGGAATTGGTAAATCAAGATTAATAGAGTATTTATTAAACTCATCTAAAATGGATAAATACTGCATTATTTTAATTTGGGTGACTGTTTCATTGCTTTACTTTAATAAACATTAATATACTTATAAAAGCTTTCTGAATTTCATGACTATGTTTGATTTCCCTAAGCTTTTTTTTTTTTTTAAACAAAGTCTTGTGGTCCTCCCCAGAAAATTCTACTATCAGAGGAGTTTTCAGAAACATAACTGTCATAATTGGGAAGAGACTCCCATAGCTGTTGGCCTTCCTAATTTAATTTAATGTAAAATAGCCTAAATCACTCCAGCTATCAATATATTTAATTGAAACACTGGGAGATAGTAGTGAGAAGTTGGACTCTGGAATCAGATTGCCTTGGATTTAATCCAATTTGTGAATGTAGTATCTCTGTATCTTGGGCCAGTTTATTAACAGCTGTAATCCTTGATTTCCTTATTTGAAAATGAAAGAAGTAATAGTATATACCCTATAAGATGCATGGGAAATAAAAGACATGATATACTTATAGGTTACTTTGTTGTATTGTGAGAATGCACTGAACGATATTTGCCACTCTTTCTATGGTGCTATATACAGTTACTTTTACCAGCATTACCAGGGGATAGGAGCACCTTCGCATCTCTGAAATAAACTTCCTTCATGGACTAGTTTCTAACATCTCACCAAAAAGATGTATTCACTGTATGAGAACAGTTTGTTCCATGTGAAAATGTAAATCACATGAGAATGCCCATCAAATTGACATATCCTGTTGCCACAAATTGTATATACTTTATTTTCTTTAATCTAAGATTTTTATCATTATTTAACAAGGTGAAAGAAACACGCATTTTGAATGATTGGTAAAAAAAAACAGAAAGAAAGTTAGTGTCAACTTTCAAATCATGTGCAGATGGAATCCAGCAGTGCCTGAGACTTTGTGTGTAGAGCATCCATGATTCTTGGTGACGTGAGGCTTGGAAAATGGAGAGGAGGCTGCAGATTGGTAGGCGATCATTAGCTTTGGGGAGAGCTTATAAACTATTCTTCCTTGGCAACAAAAGTAGTGAGATGAGAAATCTGAGGGCAGAATGAAAGAGCAAGGAAAAAGGGTATAATTAGAGATCTTTTCCTGTTGGTGAAATCTATTAGCTTTTGTGTGTTTGCGTTGACTTCATGTACCAGTGTAGGTGAGAAAAGCATGCTTTCTTGGGTAGAAAATGGCAAGTGACCTCAGAATAGTGCGCTGATATACGGAGCATCAGTAGTCTTTTGGTGCTGGAGCTTTTGGTAAGCCCAGAGGCTAGGAAATCTACTTTTGTTGTTCAGCCTACTTGAGTGAGGCAAAATTATTTGACTGATGGCATGGGAAAGGGACATTTGCAAGTTTCACAAACTGCTCGATTATTTCTAACACCTATTGGGTGATTGTGTAAAAATGTTTGCTTAAAATTTCTGTGGCAAAAGGCATCTCTGACAATGGAGAAAATGACATCTGTAATTCCATATGATAGAAATTGCTAGACATAATCCCAGCACTCAGGAGGTTGAGGCAGGAGGATTGCCTTGAGTTAGAGACCAGCCAGGGCCCGAACTACATAGCACGACCTTATCTCAAAAAAAGAAAAAAAAAATCAAGAGAATAAAAAATTTAGAAAAAAGAAATTGTAGTCTAGCTTTGTTCTTGACAGATTAGTATTTTTTAAAATCTTAGGTTGCAAGATCAATTTAGTAGATTCTCATCAGAGCTTTAAAAAAAATGAAAAGAAAGAAAAATATGAATCAACAACAACAAAACAAATTACCACAGATATTATAATTCAAATAAAGCAAGGTAGCTCTACAGTTTGTGATCTGGCTTCTGAGATAGATATCAAATTCAATATTGAGTTTATTATAAGTACATCTAGATGAAGGTACTGTGTAATTCTCTAATGACAAAGTGTTACAGTTGGATGTTTGTGTCCAAAATTCATATGTTCAAGTCCTATTTGCCAAGGTAGTAGTACTAGGAGGTACAGCCTTTTTCCTAGAGATTAAGTCACAAGGGCAGGAGCCCTCAGGGATGTCGCTCAGAATAACTGCTGTGCTTCCCACCATGTGAGGATCCTGAAGACAGTGTCTATGAAGAAACAATCCCCTATACACTACATCAGCCTGCACCTTGATCTTGTATTTCCCAGCCTCTCTGATGCTGAGAAATCAATGTCTGTGTTTTATAAACTACCAAGCTGGTACTCTTTTTTTCTTGCAGTCTAGATGAACTGACACCAGGCTTCTTACCTGTAAAGATCTGAAACACCCCTGAGTTGTTTGCACATTGAATAGGAACACTTACCTCCTATCCTCGAAAGTTCAGTGCCACTGTGGGGAATCTGAAAGAGGAAATAATTCTGATAGCTCCAGACCTCCCTCAGGAAAGACTGAAATATTGGAAGCAATAGCCTCCGACACCCAGTCCCATTCCTATAATTCGTATCTTATCATCACTCAGCCATTTATGCGTGTTCTATTTAAATGTTTACACATTAGCTATAGGTATAGTCATACCTTTCTCATAGGAATCACAGATACATAAATGTAAAAATATTTCAGTTATTGTTTATGTTAATCTTTTCTGTTTTCTTTCAACAATAAAATCCAGGCTTGTAGAGATAGCACTCCTAAGTCACGGAGTAGACACCAGCCCAAAAGGGTCTACAATCACATTACTTACCTCTCTCCTTACTATGAGGCATCCTAGTCTATGTAAGGAACTCAGGAGATAGAAACTGTTTCTAGAACACAACATTCTATATCATCATGTTATGTTTATATATCCTTCACCCTGTTTTTATTTTTATAATTTGAGACAGAGTCTGTCTAGGCTGGGCTCAAACTGGTGATCCTCCTGCCTCAGCCTCACAGAGTTCTGATATTCATCAAGAAGTTCAGATATCTCTGCAATTTTTAAGTATTTCTCATACACTTACTTACCTGAGTCTTTTATGATGTTCCTGAAGTTAGAACTTCATGTTTGCCATTTCTCTGTACTTTTCCTATATTTATAAGGTTCTGAGTAAATGTGGGGGAACTTGTTTTGATTCTCAGACTTATTAGAACCTTTAGTTTCTACTTAGCTTCTATAGAAGATCCAGAAAAGCATATCAAAGAATCATTCAAATAGTTTCATTTGGGTATGGTGATGTTGCTCAATGGAACAACACTTGTCTACCAGGAGCAAGGCCATGAGTTCCATCCCCCGCACCCCCCCCAAAAAAAGGCTGGAATTGCTTTAGTTTAATGCTGGCTTATAACTAAACCATTGGTGAACTAATACAAATAGAGAATACCTTTTGCAAATATGAATGGATAGATAACTGGGAAAGTCCAAATTTCCCTGGATGGACGGTTGGACGGATGCAATTTTTAAAAATACTCCAGGAAAGTTATAAATAAGGAAACTAATGTCCTTCTTATTAGGGATCCCAGGTCTAATTTCCTTTTGTCCTTCCTATGCATTTGAAAAGAGGATGTGGCTCTTACTTCCATGACAGAGCAATTTAATATTTTCACATAGACAGCAGTGTGCTTATATTTGAGCACTACAAATTTAGAAGGCTATCAATAACCCATTTTGTTCTACAAAATATACAGAAATGTCAAGTGAGGAAGCACAGATTATATAATAATAATCGATTAAAGGAAATTTCAGTATTCACCTGACCCTAACACCCAACAAGTAATCAAGAGAGGGAACAAAACTAGACTTCAAATGGCAAGTATCGTTTAGAAGATGACAATGGGCAGACACAGAAGTACCTAGCCATTTGCCATTTTATCCCACACTTGAGATTTAATGTCTGAATAATTCACCTGGAGAAGCACTGGTATTGGAAATTCCAGGCATAGCTGAAGGAAGTGGCAAGATGTTCCACTGAAAATGGGAGATTTATTAATTCTACCAAAATTATTAAATAAAACTGTTCTTGTTGAAAATGAGACACTCAACATATATCTATCTGAACCAGGCTGTCTGAACTGTAAAAGCTTACCTTGACTATCCAAGGCAGGAGAACAAAGAATTCTTCTCTGGCGATTCTTAACAACCCAAAAGAAAAATAAGAAAAATAACCCAAAAGAAAAATACAAATGTGGACATTTTAGTTTCTCCAAACAGAAAGACAGTTTAATGATTTATTGTAGGATACTTGGGTTTACCGACTCGGAGATCCCCTAATACACTCAGAAATGTCAATCAGCCTTTCAGGTCCTCCCCTTAATAAGCTGGAAGTAACTGTAAGCCATGACACAGGACATTAGTAAAAGCAGGAAAGAGCAAAGTGTGCAGGGAATAAAAGAAAACTTTAGAAGGACTTTTATACCCTCAAATGAGGAGATGTTATATCCCCTATAGTAGAATGGAATACTATTTTTAAAAAAAAGCTAAAGAAAATTAAAAAGCTATTGGAAACAAAATAGAAAAAGAGCATCTTTAAATTTAAAGTTATATTTAAGGAGAATGTCAAAAAATTAGAAAAAAAGTATTTAAAGTCAGAGAATTCAATTCAGGATAATTAATTAACCTAACACTTCACTCGTAATAGTTCATGAAATAGAAAATGAATTGGAGGCAAATGATTATTAAATAGTAATTATAAACTAATTTCTAGAACTGAAACATGGACTTTCAGGTTTAAAGGACTCAGTTGTACTCCCAACTTTAAATGGGGGTGGAGGGAAGTCATAAAATGTCAGAGTAGAAGAGAGTATGGATAGGCTTACAGGAAAAGAAAAAAGGTCACTTATAAAGAACTAAGAAGCAGGCAGAGTAGGTTCTATCTTCTCAGGGACAACTCCACAAAGTACAGTTCAGTGGACCAATGCTCTCAAAAATTCAACATTCTCCACCAAGAAAGAGGAAATGGCACTCAGACAGTGGATCACCAATGTAGGAAAGAGGAAAAAAATTTCCCAACTGCCAGAACAAGGCTTTCCTGCACATCTGTTTACACAGTGCCCTGTAGTGAACACCCAGGGAAAAAGACCAACTGCAGTAAAAATACTACATAGGGGTCCAGGAGGACCCTAAACAGTGCCAGGAAACCTGACAGTATGAGCAACACTTCTACACACATTAAAAGAAGATTTTCAGTTTGAGAGAGAATCTGGAAATGAGGAGCGATATATTCATAGAAATCACACGAGCCATGAAATAGGAGTTAACTTGAAAGAAAGATAAAAATGAAAATAAATTTATAGAATATTCCATCATTCAGCTGTGAATATTAACAGCATCATAATACTGTAAACACTTTATTTAACAAAAATCGCAGTATAGCTATATAGAGAAGGGAAAGGTATGTGTCAAAAAGATAATTTTAAGAATCTACATCTTCATATTCTGTATGACAATTTTATCAATAGCATTTCATCTGTGTCTTTTAGAGATAGGCTATTATCAAAATATACAGCTATAAGAGGTAAGAGTAGGCCTATGCAAAATGTATTATCTTTTTTTTTTTTTTTTTTCCAGTACCGGGGATCAAATTCAGGACCCTGTGCTTGCAAGGCAGACATGGCACCACTGAGTTAAATTCTCAGCCCTAGAAATGTACTAACTTTTAATCACTATAACACAATACTTAACTTTACAGAGAGAAAAAGGGTCTCTCTCTTGCTCCCCCTTTTTGTACTCATGTCTAAACCTAGAACTCTCACAATGAGTTGCATCACCAAAGTATTATTTACTTTGAGGCAAGATCTCACTAAGTTGATAAATTGCTTCAGGATGGGCTTGAATTTGAAATCCTCCTGCCTCAGTCTCCCAGGGTCCTAAAGTGTTGGTCACCATGCCAGGCTATCTCACAGTTTTTGGAAATTCAAAGATCGAGACCAGGCAGCCCTATTGGTTGGCCTCTGCTGAAGGCAGCAGATGGTGGCAGAGGAGAGCCGGAGCACGTGTGTGGAGCATTTTATATTCCGCAACAGGATATTACAGAGAAAGGTCGCACAGTCCTTCTGAGAGCACATCCACAGGAACCTAAGGACCGCCCATGAGGGCTGACTTCCCAAAAGTTCTACCACCCCCAACATAATCATCCTGGGCACCAAGACTTTAATCACAATAGGCTAATAGAGTGGATGTTCACTAAGATTTCGTGTGAGCCAAAGCAAGAGAAATGAAGCAGTTTATTATTCTTATGCTATTATTCTTATTAATATAATATTACCATGTCATCATGGCATTATCTGTCTTTTAAAGTGATGAATCTGTACTATTTTAAATAAAAATGAAGTGTAAATATATTTAATATAAAAATGATAATTTGTTCTAGTTTTAAATCCTGATTTTACTACTTGCTTTGGGAAAAGCCACTTCTGTTTTGCTATTTTGTTCATTTGTTTTCATATATATTGGGCTTTTTCTGCTTTTCCTCATAAGGAGCTATGGCAGGTAAATGACACTACCTTAATATCTAATACACAGCTGTAAGGGCTCCAATATTTCTTTTCATTTCCCCTTTGTAGGAGTGAAAGAATGTGTTAGCTGTATTCAGATATTTGAAGGAGTCCTATATGGATGATGGATATACTGTGGCATTATGTTTCCAAGTGATTAAGAAAAAGACAAAAGACTCAAGGAAATACTTCAAGCTGCATATAAAGAGAAACATGTCTTTCAAAACGCAGAGGTAACTGGTGGGTTCTCACATATTAAGTCTTTCAAACATGAGTGAAGATCCCATGGGAGAAATATAGAGGTCATGTAAGCAGTTGATGGAGAAAGCAAAGGATGTTCCAGGTCCTTCTTTCTGTAGCAAGGATGATGGTGTTTCCCCATGAATCCAGAAATCTAAAAACCAGTAGAAGAGCAAGCTGTAGTTATTATTTTGGTAGCTACAGAGATTACAAGACAAAGCAACCGGCTTTGACTGTTTAAAGCACTAAAAATGTTTTAAAAATAGAATTAGAATTACTAAACTAAACTGTGCCCCAGATTTCACATGGTGAAAAAATTAAAAACCAAACCAAACCCTGCAGGTAGTAAGAGTGAAGTTCTAATATCTCCTGTGCAAGCTGTGTGGCTCTGATGGAAAGGGGTTGGTGGGCTCCCCAGACTCTACTAGGACACGGGGACTTACATACTGTACAACCTCTGCCCGGCAACAGTCTTCCTTTCTCCTTGACCTCTAAGTCCTCCAAACAGTCTCAAACTGGATCCTTTTTAAATAGGAAGAAGAGAAGGAAATAAAGAAAGAAGGGTCCCAAAGTGGCGATATGTTTTTACCTTCTAGCTCTTGTCCTTATTTTTCAGTAGGGAATAGAAGAATAAACTAAGTATGTAAAGAGGTGCCACCCAAACCATCCATATTTCCTATGGTCCTGTCTTCTCCTACCTGTTCCCTGTTTTGCTTTCCTCTAACTTCCTTCAGCCACCCGCCCTCTCCCACCGGATACCTCTGTGATCAGCCTTCCCTCAGGCCCTCTAGAGCTCCTTCCAGATAGAAGTGTGGCTCCAAAGTGTTTGACCATAAGATGCTGCAGCTTTGTCTTCTGTTGTTTTGCGCGCTATACAGGGAGACAGGGGCTGCCTCTGCAACCCAGGGCCAGGTGTTGGCTTTCATCTATATATTAACTGTACACTCCATATTTAGGGAATTAATTACAGACTTTTTAACATGACACACAAGTTGTTCACAATCTCATCTAGGTAGCATTGCAACCTCCTGTCCTCATCTTCCCCTGCCAAGCCCCATTTGTTCCAACCTCACCAAAGTGCACACACTGTCTCCTTCCTTTTCTCTACTGTGATACACACTCACTTGGCCAACTCAGGTATATCCTCCTCCCCCACTGAGAAGCTTTCTTACCCTCTTGTATTCACACTCAGGGATGTTGTATGTTCCAAGATTTCATTCACACTTGCTTCTATCAAAGCACTTAACATATTGTGTTACAATTTGTGCCTTTGTGAGTTTATCTTCTCTACTTGTTTCTCAAATAAAGCCATCCTATTCTTTTTGGTATGCACACTTCCTACCACAGTGTGTAGTTTATAGCAGGAACCCAGAAAATGTTATTTCACTGAATAAAATAAATAAATGAGTGAATGGGAAATAGGCACTATAGTGTTTGCCTTTTAAACAACTCATCTAAAGGATTAGTCATTAAACAAAGAAAGCTTCAGTAGGCATGTCGCACATCTGGACAATTGTAATGCAAAATATTTACTGAGGAGGCAAACAGTTTCTTTTTCTTGTTGAAATATAAAAGAATTTTTGTTTCAAGGAAAATTACACTGGGAAAAAAATAACTGTCTGCAGTACAAGAAACTAAGTTTATATCGTCAGGGACATTCTCTTGTCTTTTTATATTAGGAGAGCGAACAAGATTTAAACCAAGCAGTCAGCGTGATGATGTTTCCAGACAGCTAATAAAGAGAAAGATTAGAGAGCTATATAAAATGGCAGGTGCCTCAGCAGATTCCACATCTTAGACATTAAACACGGAATAAAGTGATGTTGTTTCCTGAAGACCACCAAAAGTGCTTGATGTCAGCTTCAGCAGCATGGTGCCATTTTGACTATGGTATTCATCTTACCTTGTATCCCAGTTAGAAAACAACACTGGAAAAATAAAGCAAACAGCTCAAGAGTAGTACTTGGAACAGAGACAGCATCTGAGATAAAACCACATAAAAAGGAACAAAGCGTTATTTCTAGTCCATTGCTTGGAACATATCCTTTGTACTTGTAGAACTGACTGATAATGTCCACTTGTATGAAACATCTCAGAGAGTTATCTGTACATGGACTCTACATTCAGTGATTCATTTTTCATGACAGCCTCTAGGAGAGTTTAGGGTTATGACTGTTCTACATTAAGAGAGAAGTAAATCAAGTTGCTATTTCTCTTAGTAAATGGGATGCCCCCAGCAGTACAGTCAGAGTTAACAAAAGGGCAAACAGAAATATTTCAAATTTGGGTACCTAATGAAGATGATGACAATAAATATGTGCTCCTTTAAGCTTTCTTTACCTTTCACAGCCATCTTCCATTTGGAGAAAAAGGCAGTTCCAAGAACTTAGTGTTAATATGGGCTAGAAGGCAAAAAGAATTTACAGTAGAAAACGGTATGAGTTTGGAAAGGAGAAAAACATATTATGAACACCTGCTGTGTGATAAGCATTGTGCTGAGTGGTTTATAAAAATATATTATCATATCTGTCTGTCTATCATCTATCTATCTATATCTGTATAATGTAAATAATACAACATTAACAAAAATATCAATATGCATAGTATGAAACTATTATTTTTGTCAGTTTATTTATTTATTTATTTTTTGGTACTGGGGATCAAGCTCTGTCTCTTGCATTTGTGAGGCAGGTGGTGGAACCACTGAGCCAAATCCCTGGCTCAGTTTAAATATTTTTGATAATTCTTTTGTCAGTTTAAATATTTTATCAAAAATATCAGTATTTCATAGATAACCAATTCTGATTAAGGCATTGAAATCTGTAGTAGAGTTTACTAGTTTATAACAAAGAAACTCAAATGCACATAATACAATGTTGAATTTAATTTCAGGCTTAGAAAAAAAAAGATTTAAGAGATAAATCCAGACATCCAAATTCTTTCTAGGAGAGGAGGCTGAACTAATAAAAAGTCACAGAAACTCCCTAGCTATCAATATGTATAAAGCATTGCCTCGAATATGTCAGTCATTTGGTCAGGTGTTATTTATCATGTAATTAAATGTGTTCACCTGCTTAAATTTACACAAAAGTAATTGTCAACCTCAAAGACTTCAAAGGAACATAAATCAGAAATTTCAGGAAATAATCATGAAGACAGTTGTAGGAAATTTCAACTTACAATTTGCTCATAATACTGGATTATTTTTTCAACTAAATGTGTGCATATAGTCTTGTCATATTGGCTAATACTAGTGGCTCCTGCCTTATGGGTGTTTAATTTGTGAGCTTGTCAAGGGACGCAACGCATTTTCTATATTCCACCTTTTATAACCTGTGGTGCTATGTGAGTTTCTTCATGTATCCAAAGAAACTTAAGTGTCCCGCAATGTGGCAGTTAACTAAAAGCTCATTATTGGTAGTCAAACATAAGTTAGAGATATGTATTGGATTGATTCAAATCAAATTGCACACCAGCAGAGGGATTATCCACTGCTTCTTTTCTGGTAAACAATTGCTGATTCTGCTTCATTTCTGACTTTCTCACATGATATTCCTCCTTTACTTTATTTACTCTGCTTTGGTTCTCTTTTCCAATAAGACTGCTCCCTATATGTTATGACTGCTTCACATACTTTTCATCTGATGGTTAGTAGAGCATAGGGTCGAGCGATGAACTGACTCGATTTGAATCCCAAGTTTGCACTTATTGTGCATTTATTTGTACAACTTGCTTAATATTACTAAACTTTAATTTCCTCATCCATAAAATGAGAGGTGTATTCTAAAGGTTTCATGAATATTAAATATGATAATCTGTTCATCATGCTTGACTTACCGTAGATTCCCAATTGGGGCTATTACTCTGACTGTATAATTATGCTAAGATAGAAGAAGACATGTGAAAAAAGTTTCTAAACTACATACTTTGACCATATACATAAACAGTTTCCTTTAGATCTTACTTCAAAAATAAAAATGCAATAGATATCTCTTCTTTTATTTGATCCTGGGAGAACTAGAACCAAATTAATCTTGTCAGAATATAATATTTTCCAAGGACTTCTATTTTTACCTTAACTGTAAAAGAGTTAGAGTCCAGCCCAAAGCCAAGTGGCTTTTTAACAGGCTAACTCCTGCCTTTTGGTTCTTCTGTTACTTGATGATTGTTCTTGATTTATCTAAAAATGTATAATTGTCTCTTGTGTTTAACTTTGAGATTCTCTCACATCCTTTTGAAGCAAAACAATGAAATTCTTACTTAAGCCTCTGGAGTCCTGCCATGTCTATCTGTGTGATTCTTCTAGATCTATCTTATCCTATCTTCTTATCTATCTATCTACATATGTATCCATATCTAATTTGCAGCATATAGGAAAATGATATACCCAGTTTGATCTTCACTATGTACATAGAGAGCTTTACAAAGTTGCATATTTCTGTGCCACAATCCTAGAGATTTTGACATTGTGAATCAAAGTAGAACCAGCAATCTGTCTTTTTTAGCAAGAACTATTTGCTTAGGAAATGCAGATTTAGACACTGCTCTACCACCCTAGGAGAATCAATGGCCTGTATGTTATAAAAGGAAAGAGACGGAAATGAGTCTGGTTTCTAAAGCAGAACCAATCTGTGTGACCTAAGGGAATCACTCAACATGTATGAGATTCAGTTTCTTTATCTTTATAAAATGGATAAATCTGTAAATGCCTATTCTACCAAATATAAAAATTGATTTAAAAATTAAATTAAATAATATCATATTAAATAATTTAATGGCCATCTAGTTTCACAGTCCTGGAAAGAAGCAATCTGAATTTTAGAGGCACTTAATTATTTTGGCTTGAAAATCAAGGTCTAAGAGCAAAGACTTTTGACTGCTCTGGATAGAAGTGTATTAAATCATGGATCATTCCTCACTAGGGCATTATGAAATCAGTTTGGCAGTAGCTCCAGTATTTGAAAACCAAAGTAAAATGAAATGACATAAGGAT